ATGAGATAGTATCAAAATCACACGTACAAAGGTTTCAGTACACCAGGACAGAAGAACCGAAACCATTTGTGCTTAAAATACATAACATGTGTGCCTCAGCTGCAAAACAGTTACTTAAAAGACGCTAAAGCACTGGTTTAATGAACTGGGGAGTCAGAAAGCCTGAGTGCCAGTCTTTTTGCCCATGGCCCATTTCCCTGGCCATTCAGTGGGGCACGGACCCATCTCCCTCCCTTGGCGGGTGGGCACAGCTCATGCTTCAATGGTGCCCCATGCCCTGCCTTGCCTATGGACTGGGCATTGCCTTGGTTTTCCTCCTAGCGTCTTCCGCTGAGGGAATTCATCAAAGCTGGTGGTGAAGTTTCCCCTCGGCTTTTGTCCTCATTGCATTCTTTAAATACTTAGTACAAACACTTCTTTACATCACCCTGACTGAGGTTGGGTATTTTCTCCCTGCAGCTCCGGTTGCTGGTGATGGAGGTGAGCCAGGGAGAAGGAGAGGGAGTGGGAAAGGTCCCTGTGGAGCTGGGGAGGGCACCAGGGAGGACAGTCTGCTGAAACGAAGGAAAATCAGCAAAGGCAGAGGGAGAAGAGGAGGGAAATAGTGTAAATGGGCAAACAGGGGCACTTAGATTGGGATGAGGTGGAGAAGGTGCTTGGCTGGGGACGATTTTATATGGTGCTTTCAGAAGGATGAGAAGACAACTTGGATGGAGACAGAGAAAAGCCAGTGGGGGGAGAGAGCTTGCCCAGTTAATTCAGAAATAAAGAGAAAAAGGGAAGTGAGGACATATCTAGAGGGACAGGAGTGGGTAATAACAATTAATAATAATTACAGAGTGAACCACTGAGATGTGTTCACTTCAACTTCAGCACCAGATGACAGCAATCACATGCAATCTGTACAGCAGGAGCTACCTGGTAAGAATCACAACTTCTAGAAATTATATTGAAAAGCAAACATTTTGGCCTCCTGCTTCCTTCTTACCCCGAAACTATCTTTTATTCCTTTTGGTTTTTAATAGATCCCCTGGGAAGCTAGAAGCATGTTGTTGCTGGGACAATTGCCCACCAATGTATATGCTTTATAATTCTCTTTATTAAAATCTTTCTCTTTGAGAAACACAGATTGAAACACTTTGCAATCAGTTACACAGATCAGTTAATACTGGTGACAGTTCCTCCATAATTAAACAAATACTAACAAATTCCAACTGTTTACAAGCCAAAACTTAAATTAACAAGATTATATAAGCTCAATAAATAGTACATCTGGTCCAGTTCAAGTATAATTCAATAAATCACAGCCTTAATCCTTAGAGAATAGAAAAACCCTGAATATAACCAGCCTAACACTAATTTAGTGTTAAAGCCAATATGAAACTTTGTCTAATCTTATGGGGCAAATGTTTGATTCTTTTATTTTTTACTTCAAAGAAAGTAAGTTGCAGATTGACATTAAAGACTATTTTGAGATCAGTACAGATTTCACCAAGATGAAAAACACAGTCCCTATTCAAAAAGTGCAATCTTTGGTTGAGATGCATTGAAATGGTTTGTGTATATAAAGGAAGCTCCTTTTTAAATATCAATATAAGTTTGGCTAGACCTGAGCCTGCTTTGTGCTATATATATAAATATGTCTTAATAATCAGCGTGGATTATAGTGATGATGAATTATGCCAACTAAAATAAGTCAAGATTTTAAATATAATAAACCAAAACAAACACCACATTTTTACACAAGCTAAGAAAGGTAAGTGGCTGCCTACTGTGGCCTTCTTCCTCAGCAGAATAGGTAGTAGAGAGAAGTTAAGGAGTTGAGTGCCTGTCAGCATTGCATGATGGCCTGTTGGAGAGGGAAGGAGATTATCTCCGAGTTCTCAAAGTGCATCAGGCTGAAAACTGATCATAGGGATCATTAGGAGCGAGTTGAGGCTTGGGATTGCTTTTAACTGCTTTCAAACGTTGAGTTGTAGGGGGAGAATTTTGCAGGATTTTGCAGATTGCTGTTGTGTCAGGACAGAGCCCAAAGGGACGGGGCTGTCCAAACCACCTCTACAAATGTCTGGGTCTGATCACGTCTGTGGGGCTGGGCACTGCACCTGCGTCACTCACCTGAGTCATCTACCTCCAGAAGAGGAAACTGCGTAGGGCAGAGATGCCATCTGGAGCCTCCTCCTTCCTCAGTGGCAAGCAAGGGCCTGCGTCCATGACCCAAACAAGGTATCTGGAGCCAGGAATTTCCTGGTGAGCTTCGGTCAAGACTCCAGCTTTTGGAGCCCTGGATGGAGACTAAAACTTAAGCGATCGGGGACTGAAGGACACCAAGGCCCAGTCTCAGAAGAAGGGATTTTGCGTGTCTAGTGCAGCTGGCCAGGAAAACAAAGGGGGTTAAATATGCAAGCTGTGAATAATGGGAGTGAACCTGGTTCGGAACCAGAAGAGGGGGAATACAGTTTGAATCATCTCCCGTAAATCCAAAAATAAGCCCCTGGGTAAACACTCATTTTAATTATTCTTCTGCTGCCAGTCAAAATCTCATGGTTACCTACTGCTTTCCCTGCCTGCCTGTATCCACCTGTTGTCTGTTTTCAGAAAGTCTGATTTAAAGCTCTTTGGCCTGGGAAAGTCTTTGTTGTGGATTTGTGCCGTGCCTATAATAAAGGCAGTGGACCCGTAGCTTCTACTGCAATACAAATAAAGAATAAGAACAGTGATACTTTTCTCATTTGAGGTTACCTGGGGATAAAGCCGCTGGAGGCATATGACTTTGATATACAGTCAGCTGTGTCTCACATCCAATTAAGCCTAACCACATGGTCTAACAAGCTCCCATTAGGCCGGTGAGAGCCCCAGTTTGATAGCAGGGTTAGCTTCAAAGATTTGATGCTTGCATTTGTAGTGATTTCCTTCCCTTGTGCTCAGATTGTGCTGAAGGGCATGAAGGGAACTTCATATTCAGATGATACATGACCAGCTTGAGAGCTGTGCTTTAGAAGACAATTGCACAATCTTTACTGCCATTTTCGTAATCTTCCAGCTTGCAATACAAGCTCTCGCCCTAACAGCCCTGTGCTCAAATTTCACTGCAATGTGAAAAACAACAAGTCAAAGAAAAACCCAACCCTTGAAGGAAAAATACCTGGTTTGCAATATTATTATTTTTTTCCATAGGGAAAAACAACATAAAAGCTGTTTTAAATGACAGATGGACCCAAGTCTTAACATACTTCAAGTCTGGACAAAGGAGGATTTAGGCTGTAATGTTTTTCATTTCCCCTTGTCTTTTGGATAGGCCACGTCTGAATCTGGGATGCAAAGAATCCCTCCACTTGCGAGAAGCAGGAATTCCAAATATGAAATCTGAACCCACCTCTGGTAAAAACGAGTGGAAAGCACAGGCCATGAAATGGAACAGGGCTTCAGGCAACAACACCAGGCACCTCTGAGACACACTGCCTGGCTACAGGGTACTTCAGAGAACAAGCGTCACTGCTGGCACAAGCAATAACAGAACGAATACTTTGGTGGAAGCAGTTTTGGCAATTTAGCCACTCTGCAATATTTTGCGACATCCGTGTCGTTCTTAGGGATGGCTAGAACCTTCTGGGAAACTATTTCCTCTGCACAACATCTAAACAGGATATCCAGCACCAGCAATTTTTACAGAACATACCGTGATGAATATTAGAGCCAGGCAAAGAATGGAAGTATGTCTGCAAATCTCCATCTGTCTAGATTGCGTGGGGCATTTTATAAAAGCATAACTCTGGGATCAATTCTGGCAATGGTTTGCATACGTGTTCACTTTCCTACACAAAGCCCTATTGAAATGAACCAGAAACTTGTACAGTGTATGTCAAAGGGACTCTGCAAAATACTAAGCAACAACTGTGCAGAAACAATAGCTCATAATAATGCCAGAGCTGCTGGTGCATCCTGTGTTCTCAGTGCAGCACTCTGTGAGCCATCGGTTGTTGTATTCGCCTCAAAAAATTCAGGGAAATAAAATACAAAAACAATATTACAAGTCTGGCATCTTTCCATGAAAACCAGGAAAATTCAACATTGCCAAGCTGAGGAAAAGCAAGCTTGAAAGAAAACAAAAAGACCCCAAAAGCAAGGATCTTGAATAAAATGTCTAAAAGAGACATGGTCCGAACAAGTGGCACTTTAAAAAGCCTCGTGAGAGTTTCAAGTCTGTAAGACTCAAAGTTGGCATCCTTTAGAATTGTCAAAAAGAAGAGTTTCAAACACAATGGTACCTGGAGAACATCCTGATCACACCATGGAAAACGCTGAAAACCAGAGCGGGTTAGCTGCCAGCACGGGTATTCGAATTGCTCTCGCTGTGCTGGGTTCAGGCTGTAAGGTCCCTGGGACAGACTGTGGCTCCCTCTGCATTCGTACAGCACAGTCAGTGCACAGTCAGTGCTCAACAACACACACATTTTATCGTTTCACCAAGCTCTAAGACACATGGAGATGGCTGCTGATGGGGTTTATGCTATGCCATCTACTGACTAGTTTTAGCACAATGGCTTTAGATGTCCTATGCAAATCCTACTTCTCACTGGGGCAATGAGTGAAATGGCTGAAGATATTTTAAGCAACATTAAAGCCTATTTATCTCCTTTCCTTCCAGCGTCCACTGGAGGATGCTGAGTGCTTCTAAATACTCCGCCTGACCTGATGCGTCACATCAGAATTAAAACTTTAAGAATCCCTGAGAATTCTGATTTAATCTAGGAAACCACTCCCAGCACACAGAGTGTGAGAAAGAATTGCTCCACTTCTTACAGATATGCCAGCATTGCTTCACCGTGGGAAACAGTTTCAGGCATTTTGGTTTTTAATGGCACTCTGGGCATAGATGCATGGAACATGCTCTTTATTTCCCCTCCTCTGTACAGTGCAAATTGACAGTTATATCATAAAAATAATAAAAAAAAAAAGTATGGGCATTCACTCATTATAGCTCTTCCAGTTCATCCGCATCATAGTTTTTTCTTTGCAAAGTGAGGAACAATGCCAGTGTCATCCTGAGGCAGATGGCTGCCTTCTTCCTTCATTTTCAGACTCTCTTCTGCAAGCTGGGACAGATACTTCTGCAATCACATCAAAAACAAAGCAGTGTTACCAAAAGTGAAAATATTCAACATGGGATGCTTTATGCCTTTTCAGAGCTCTCACACTCTCCCAGCCTCTCAAAAGGGAAGAAAACACATAGAAGCCCCATTTTGGTGAAAATTCAAGCCAGGAAATATAGCTGTGTCAGGCAGACTACCGTAATACATGGAGAGCCTCAGAAGTTCAGTGATTTACTCTGTGCCACAAGGGGAACTGGTGACAGAACCAGGAGGGCCACCACTCCCCGTCAGTCTGTGTAGCTAGACCTCACCTTTTCTCCTTGCAAACTCTCTACTCCCATATGCTGTAGGGCAGGAACTAACTCCATTGAGGGAACTGAATTACGCTAGTGTAAGACTGGTGTGTCAGAAAATAGATGCAGTTTCTGAGTCACAATTTAAAGCATATATATTACATTTTCAGTATGTCCAGTTCAGAGATATACCTTTTGCACAAGAACATTTGTTTTAAGAGAATAATCAAACTCAGTAATAATTAACACAGTTTAGCGGTCTGGCTAGAGTATTTACATTTATTGTGTTTCTCTAAGATAAAGCCTTTCACTGCTTTAAGTACGCAGTGTGATTTAAAAATACAGGCATGGCCAGCAAGGCTTTCAGCCTTCTGGCAGTGCTCTGAGTTGGCAGAGCTGCACACAAAATGGAAGATGAATCGGTGTGGATCTGAAAATGGTGCTCAGAGTATTTATTCAAGGTCAACAGAGCTAGAAATGGATGGAAAGAGGCTTCTTCAGCAGCAGCTAGTATAGAGAGGCACACAGGAAATCCCCACATAATAATGTAGAGATGTTCTTATTAATGACATACCACATGCAAGAATAACTGAGCTGCACATTATTAGGATCATAAAACTCTCTTTTCTAGCTGATTATTCATTCTGATTTGTTTTGAGAAGACCATCTCACATCACTGAAAAATTTTAGCTTCTTGCAGGATTCCCCCAGACTACAGTTTACTCTTTGGCATCCACGGGGAAGAGGTGAAATGAGAGATGGATGCAAAAAAACCTAAGGACTGTGTTAGGATTGCCAGGTTGTCTCATGTAAATACAAGTTTTGGATGTAAGAGGTACATCTGAAAGGACTCAGTAATGGTAATGAATAGGCATACCTGTGACAAAATGATGACTGCACCCCTGTTACTCTGAATACAGAGATTTGGCTATGGAAATTACACGATTCTCAATCTTGATCCCTGGGTACAAAATTCCATGTGGCAAAAAGCCAGAGTAAATGTTGCAGTAGTATACAGAGATATAGGATCCATCAAGGCTGCGAGAACTGATCCGTACACCATGAACTGTAATAAATCACTAACGCTTGCCATTGGATCAGATAACCCACACATTTTTGGTTTTTAATCATTACCCACCAAAATGAGACTGAGGTCTATCCACCACCTTTAGCTGATGTTGTCAGCTATCACAAATACCAAAACCACCAGTTTTGAAGTTCACAGACGAGACATTCAGATTAATTTATAGCAAAATGACAGTCAAGGAAAAAATATTTTTTCATTTAAATACAAGTTTTGATGAATACTGCATAAAGCCAGAGGAAAACAGGATAAAATGCTGCACTGAGTTGCCAAGGTAGCTTTCACCAGATGAATCTGACAGCTTTTTGTGGTAGTGGTGGGAGGGATGGCCAAATGATGGATTTTTTGGACATGGAAAATGCAGTGGATCTGCAAATATAAATACCACCTGGGAAAATAATTTATTAAGATGAAGAGAATGGAAAATTACAAAAAATCTGCAAGGCTGACAAAGAAACAGTTGAATTTTTTTCAGTGATTGCTGTTCTTCAGGGGGCACCGTACTCAGTTGAAGTTGACTATTTTCCTTCAAGACAAAATTGTCATCATCTAAGAAAGGCTTTTGGAAGAAAACTGGTAAACAAACTGTTTAGTTTTCGTTCAAATCCAAACACTGAATGTATATTGTGGATGTGGCTCCAAGGAGATCATGTGAAGGACAACAAACAGCAAATCAACTATAAAAGACTCATAACCATGAGAGCATTTGGGACAATGTCATTGTCACTGGACAACATTTTTTGTCATGTACGCAAGACAACAGAAAGATAGTCTGCAGCAGCAGTCCCATAACTTCACATACAGTAAACGTTAGAGTCCATAGTTCTTATGTTGGTGGATACACTCTTTAAATTGCATCATCACAGGAGAAGACTGAATCTTGCAGAGTGCATAAATAAGCATTATTGCAACTAAAAGAGTTCTAGTAATACAGAACAATTATTTAAAGTTTGCTGAGTTTCCACTTGAGTGGGCAAAAGTTGGATGAGACATTTACTTCCTCCATTTAGTAAGATAAGAGGTACGGCTCGACAGAACAGTCTGTTTTCATTACCATATTTGACAGATTTAATTTTAACAGCTTATGTGGTCTTTGTTCTTTTATCTCAAGTCAGTGTTAGATATCTACCACAGTGCTCATGGGAAATGTCTTAACAGGGAAATAGCGAGCTTTTTTTCACACTGACTCAGTTTTAGTTGGACCTTTTTTCCTATGTCTTTAACAAAATAACCTAGAAAATGAAAAAAAATCTCTCTCCTTTCCACGGGACCAGTTGCCAGGGGCAGGGGCTGCAGTTGCAATCTTTGCTTTAGCACGAGTTTCTTTGGGACAGGCTCACATGGGATACACAGTCTGCACTGAGTGGTGCCACCTCTGGTGAATCCCTCTGGATTTTTTTTTGTATGAAGCAAAAAAAGGCATGCAAACTGGGCACCTGTTTTTCAAGCTTACACTTGGAGGATCCATTATTAGCAAGCATTACAGCTCTGCAGGCACAGTCTTTGAAAGCCAGAGGCCTTTGTATGATTACTGCTACTTAACTCCAGGAAAGTCAAGAAGAAAATTCTCCCAGAGAAATTATTTGACTCTGAGTGTTGCTAGAAAAGCCAATGACTACTAGCCCGACAGGGAAAGATAGCTATTACTTGAAGACAAGCAGAGTTCCAGCATTTACTATGGGCAGAGGGAAGGAAGAGAGAAAGAAGGAGCAGCTTTGCTTTGCTCTTTCATGACTTTTGCCAAGAGTATGCCAATGCCAACAAAAGTGTCCTCTGCAGTGTACACACCCCGCACACAGGCAGGGACTCAAGGAGGTGAGAGGCAAGGCTACCTCCTCTGCGGAGTCCTCAGCACAGGGCAGTTCATGCTCATGCTGGCACGACTGATACTATCAATTGTGCAGCTGAAAAGTGATAAAGGTAGGGTCTTTTGATTGAACTGCAAGCACCTGTGGTCTTTGTGTGCTGTTATCAAGTGCTGATATGCTTATGGTATATTCTTATGGAAACCATACAAGTAATTACATGCTTCTGCATATCCTTATGGAAATTATTCAACAGCGGTGTTCTGCACGGCTGAAACGCCGTGCTGTTCTATAGCACAGGGCGGTGATTTCAGCGGGTCACAGGAAATGCCTCGGAGAGCCTGTGTGTCACAAAGTACTGCGTGCTGAAACACGCTGCAGAAATTCATGCTAATGCAAAAATAAGTCTGGCAACATTATTAAACAATTGGCTTTTATAATGCTCCTGAAATTAAGAAAGGCTGCTGCTGGGCTTACTCCCAGTGATATAAACATCTGGGACCCTCAAGAACAGAGAATTAAAGATTTGAGTTGCATGCTGTGCTAGTGACAAGGACCAAATGTAGATGAGAAGATCAAATTATCGCCTATTTATGATCCAGAAGTTGATTTCAAGGATCTGGGAGTGAGAAGTTAGTGTGCTAACATTTGTAACGACTGCAAAGTTTTGCTTATCTAAATTTCACTTCATCTGAATTCTGTCCACAGAATAAAAACTGATTTTTTGTAGCATCATCTATCTTACACACAATCCACCCCATGAGCTAGTTGTTAGTGTGCTTTTACCTGAAGATTTTTGTAGTGAACAGTACTTCTGCAGTGACTTGTCTTTGCTGTTTCTTCATTTGTGTAGAAGAGTCCACAGAGCTTGCAGTAAAACCCAGTTCTAGGCACCACAAATTCCACACCTATTGAGAAACTCTGAATTACATTAAAATGTCACTTGAAACCCTTCCCCTCCACAATTAATTGTTTTCAAAGAAAAAAGTTTCTGTTTAGTTAAATGACATAGATATGAAGGCTGAATCCTGGATTCACTTCTCTGATTTCCCTAATTTTGCAATAATGAGCTGCAGTTTAAAATCCTGTGTGTTGCAAATACACCTTCCACTTCTCTTTTAGATATTATACACATTTAAAAATGTACCTTCTCGTGCATAGTATTGACTGGAAAATTCAGTGTGTAACCTCACAGGCTAGAACAGCAATAGTACTTATTAGCAGTAAATTCATGCTTAAGTTACACAGATTGCCCTTTAGGATGTACTTCTTCCAGGTGTTTTATTCATGATCAGTGTTTACACAGTAAAACTAATACTTTTGCTTATACTGAAAGTATAATCAATACTTTTATGACAAAGACTTTCAAATTTTTCATATATATTTCATATGTAGTCCAAGGGAACTTATTTAATCTCATCAGCAACATTAACAGCTATCTTTTGCCATTCATCTGGAGTGAAATTAGCAATGATCTATAATCAAAAGTCCGTTTCAACAGCTACCCCTCTGTCATATACCTTGTTCCTTCACTCTCCTCACATCTGTTCTGAAAAGTAAAAATAGCAAGTGGCCTTAAAGTGACATCTTGTTGTAAGCCCTAGGTATTGCAGTGGGTGGCATCGCAGGCCGAGGGTGGCCTGGGCATCTGAACGTACCCAGGGGAATGCTGAGTTCGGTGAAGACGTCCTCTTGTTCCCAGCCTGGTGGAGAGTGCCTTCTTTTAGAATCTACCTCCGGGTATTCCAGAGATCTCATTTCCAGGTACCTAGAATTTGCTTAACAAATGAATAAATGTATTGAATGAAAACAGTTTATTAGTTCAAATGAAAGCAGTTTATTAGTTTAAAGAGACATTTATAAACTTCTTGGGAACGCTTTCTGGGTGGATCTGTAAATGAAGTAAAATCTGGAAAAAGTGCTTTTCCATTCAAATCAGAGGCCTACTCAATGCAGCTCCAACAGCTATACTACACTGTGCAGTCACCCCTATTTCTCCCAGTAGACCATTTTTCTATTTCTAATTTCACTTTCATTGTTTTTCCTTTTCATATTTTAATCTCTAAATAGATCTATAACATTAGACGTGCCTCTGGCACAAGCATGGTCCAACTGCAGCTCCGTAACCACATGCGGTATTGCATGACCAGTGACGGAGCTGGGCTAACACAGGGGCTGCTGAGAAAGGGGGGGCAGCAGCACCTGCTGAGAGCAAATCCCCAAACTGCCTAAGCAGCTGCATGGGCAGAGCAAACCTTCCTCTGGCAGGGCCCCTGCAGCACCACTGTCATCTTCTCCCTGGAGCCACTCTTCTCCCATCTCCCAGCTCTCCAAGGGATAGTTTCTGCTTTAAGGCTCTTGGCCACTTGAAGATTTTGGTTCCTGGCCAGTAGCGATGGGACGGTTGGTCCCTGATGACAGACATTGATGGACACAGGCAGGAGATTCAAGGTGTGGAAAACAGTGGATTGATTTGCTGAGGCAGATAAAGCCAGTCAAAGGAACAGATGCTCTCTCGTCCTAACATGTGAATTGTTTTTATTTTAAAAAAAAGATAAATTTATCATCACAGAGCAACAGAATTACAGATAAACTGGTCTGATTCCTATTCTTCAGTTCTTACATCAAAGAACTAGTTCCCTTACACTGACAAAATTCCTATTGCATTGCAAATTTCACCTAGATAAGGGATATATTTTCTCATAAAACAAATATATTTTTGCCCAAACCAAACCCTTCCTGTCTTTCAAGTCTGTAGTTCAAAGATCTGCAATTTCTGGCTATGAGAATGAATTTTTCTTCACTGTTTTAAATACGTCTATTACATGATTTAAAAGAAAATAGTATAAAATCCTGACTGGTTGGCTTTCAAGTTAACTTTAAGCCCATCCAAGGTTTCCAAATCTTCAACAGAGATCCTGGAACACCCACAAGCTTCAGTTAGCTCTTCTTAAGACACCCAGGGCCTTTGTGGCAACTTAAGTCCCACTTAAGTTGATTTCTGGGCTTCTGAGCTGGCAGCTGCATTTGCAGAGAGCCTAGAGACTTGCACTGCAGATACCAGATACCAAGTCCGTGGCAGAAACCTGGGAAGCGCAAGCTCCCCTGGAGCTTCCAGGCTCTCTGCTGGCAAGTTGGAAGCTGAGATGCTGAAAACGCTGAAGTAACTATGCTCTTGGGATACCCGACTCTTTCGTCAGCTGGCTGCCTGTGAAGTGGGCAGCCCAAGGGAGCCAACCTTGCCATCGCCAGTCCCAGGGAGTTTGCATGGCAGTGTTATCTCCAAATATGCAAAGCCTGGCAAGATGTCTTCAGGCCAAACAGGTAAGTATTGAAAACTAAGCGAATTTCAAATCTCTCCTGGAGGAAGAAGTTAGTTCAAAATCGGACATTCACATTAAATATTCCAGCATTTTCTGGTGGAAAATTGCACCCTCAAAAATCTGCCAGCAACTTCTGTTCACAAACCCTTCTCCATCACATGGACTCCGGTAGCAAGTAAAAAGAGCATTCCTGGCCAACGTGCTCTATGTTGTTTTCCACTTCCCCTCATTATATACAGCCCATTCGCTCAAGTTTCATTTGAAAGTGTGATGAGGAACTGAACTCACTTTCAGACACTCAAGATCTTTTTTTTCCTGACAGCTAAAATATTAGTAGGCAGCTATGATTACATTTATTGGAATTATCTCACAGCATGTCCTATCAGTTATATTAAAGGCAGCATGCGGTAGATAACAAGAGATGATAAGGCAAGTCCTGACAAAAGGCACGTATTTGCATGAACAGGGACTGAGAAGTAACAATCTACGGATGATTTCCATGTTACTAACACTTCAGTACAGTGTGTAAGAATAACCACCTTGTCCAGGAGCCAGCCAGACATTACAGATACTTTTCTGTTGACCTTCAGAGACTGTCACTCGTTTCATTGACAATTCAAAATAAATTTAGCAGGGCACTGAAAGACTTCAGCTAAACTCATGTGAACCTTGACATGACAATTATAGCAGCTTATGCCTTTCAGAAAGCTTGCAAGCTGCTTATCATATTTCCTTTACACTATTCAGCTAAGAGCCTCTAATGGTTTAGCTTGGCGAAAGGCACTGGGGTTCTTTTACTGAGCTGCTCCAAGGACAAGTCTTGATACTATTAGCAACATTTATTCTTGTTAGCAATAAATCTCAGTCTACTGTCAGAGAAAACATGCAAGGCGCTCTGTGGGCTGAAAAGAAAAAAAACAGTAGTTACCCTTGGCCTCTGGACACTCTTGGCTTCCGTGTCTTGTTTCTTCACTAGCGTTTTTAACAAGCATTTCCATAACTTTTCTGCTCTCAGCTCCTTGTGATCCCATCTGTTTGTAATCATCTATAAATGTATCAGGGAGCTGGAGAGTCTCTTCTTTCAGATGAACAGAAGGTATATGGTGATCTTCGGGCTCTAAGCGAGTGTCAGAGCTCTTATCAATTTTTCCTTCCTTCTGCTGGGGATCAGACTCCTTAGCAGATTGGTCTTCTTGCAATTCCTCTGGCTTCTGCTCAGGGTCCAGATTTAGGCTTGATGCTTCAGTTACAGCATCATCATTATCATCATCCTCCTCATCATCCTGACAGCCGCTAGAAGCTACACTGCCCTTTGCTGATCTGAAGTTTGTTTCTAAAGCTTTATGGGCAAATTTGTCTTCACTCCTGGTTAAGTGGCTGTGATCGTTTTTCAGTTCTAACATGGTTGACATACAGGGACACATTTCTGAAGCAGTTTTATTTTTTTGATCAACTGGTACTATTTCTTCAAGTTCAGTTATATCCGGCTCCATAATTAAATCATCTTCTCCCACTTCATCTACTGTCACTAATTCCTCCATGTTAGCAGGATACCAGGTCTCACCTTCTATCTCACTTCCACTCTCCCAGTCTCGGTCCTGTCACAAAGGTGTAAAACATTTGAGAGATCAGTGATTACAGATCACCACTGTTAAAAAGTGGGCTTTGAACATCAGTAACCAGGAAGAACTTTGATCTGGCCATGCCTAACCCCTCTTGTATTTTAGTTTCAAAGAATGATATGCCTTGGTGTTGTGATTTTAAACCTTATGCACAAGGACAAGAAATCTCTTTTTAATTATCACATAAACTTCACTTTGTGGAGATCCTGTAACTGCCTTGGGGATTACAGTCTCTCCAGTCTCCTGCTCCTTACTTTTCTGTAAGCAGTGGAACAAGGCACAACCTGTTATACTTTATTATGCAACTGACTCTACTATGTGATCCCCAAGGAAATCAACCTCTCCCCTTCCTCCACGTCCATCCCAGGGTGGCGAGAAATAGGCAGCACCCCAGTCCAGCTGCTGTGGCTTTCACTTTGCTGGACAAGATCCTTTAAATTTCTACGGTGACTGAGAAAACGTGGCTACCTTCTGTAGTCATTTCCTTCCACCAGCAAGAACCCTCTGCCAGGGACTGTGTTGGTAGAGATTGGCCTAGACCTTAAGCAAAATCAGTTTTACAGTTATACTCCAAGGTACACAATCTGAAATACCTCATACATGCAGTTATAGACTAACAGGACTCAGACACTAACGCTGGACTTCAGAAATGTTAGAATTATAAGGCATATGTTACTTTTAAGGCACACTTGCAGCTTAGATTTCAACTCCCAGACTCATCGTGTACACATAATCTATTAATAATTGTTATTCTCCTCCTGTTTGGCTAGTCCCACACTTCCCCTCCTAGAATCCTAAAACAGCATGAAAACTCCGGGAGTTGACACTGTTCTTGCCAGGAGATCAGTTTTCTACAGCAACAGATATCAATAGCTTCCATAACTGACCATCAACCCATGACCCTACAGATATGAAGCTGGAGGAATTCCAAGGACATTGCTGTCCCTGACTGCGATGCTGCAGTAGGGGTGCTGTAAAGACATTATTTAATTAAAACTAGAAACAATCAGAAGAAGCCATAGTCCATCTAAGGCCAATGTTCTGAAAAGTCTTCATCATTAGTCCCCTCCTCCTCCACCAACTGACCACATCTCCTATTTTTGGGCGTGGATCACCAAGTTACACAGTTCACTTGGGCATACGTTACTTACAGTTGCCAGTGCCAAGGGCTATGCATGTGAAGCAATGTACATGGGCAAAGAGCAACTAAAAAAAGAGTTCTGGAGACTTCAGGAAAAGCTATCCCTTAAAGCAGAGGTCAAGATAAGGCAAGTTAATTTAGACAACCCCCTTCTACAACCCCTTTACATGCCTCTCCATGGGGGTTTAATATTTCAGTTGGGAGAATGTGCTACCAAACCTGGGTTTTCACTCATTTTGTCGTGGAAGCTGCACCAACAACGTATCACCAACCTTCTCTTTTCTTGTGTTTTCCAGAATCTCTCCAGATTCTTTTCCTTGTTTATTTGCTGAAGGTGAGTTCTTCTCTGGAACTTGCTCCTCTTTTCCAAGCTAAAATAAATACAACATATACACGTATGGCAATACACAGTGGTGCTCTATTATGTTTCTATTCTGGGTTTAGGGAAGCAAAGTCACCACAAGGTCACATTCTTTATTTCTAAAGTTTATGCAAGTCAACTGGGCTGTGGGAAAAGACCCAAGAATTGGATTCCATTGGCAAAGCTGCATAAATAAGAATTAAGAAAAAGAAATTTATACAAAATTAGAGAGATGTAATTTACATCATAGAATTGGCTAGAAGACAGGTGGGGGAGAATGTGAATTCGTTAAAATTTCCAGCCTCCACTCCTCTGTTCTCTACCCACATCTGTTATGTTGGCTCAAACATGGTAAGGAGAGCAGCAGTATTAAGACTCTGCAAAAGACCTCAACTGTTTTGTTTATTGATGTAGGATCAGTTGAGAATGCAACTGCTTGCACAGTTCCTATTTTGGAAGAACAAACCACGGTACTACCTGGCACTTGGTAAAAGAGGGGTGAAGCAAAAAGCATGAGTTCAAGACATTCAAACCTGTTTCTTCCCTTTAAAATAAATTATTAGCTGTAGTCCCTGGAGAGGTGTGCCTTTAACAAAGCAACTTTAAAATAACTTGAAAAACATGCAGGGGAGCGTGCAACACTAGTGATTTAGGATGCTGTCTGATATTTCTCTCTGACATCTCCTCCCAAGGAACCATCCATCTCAGTGAAATACCAGCCAAAGGACAAAGACGACAAAAGGTGGTAGAGACACACATATCTATGGCATGACGTAGTGCTGCTGCCTGTAACAGAGACTAGCTGAGTTACAAGGTCTAGAGATTTCTACCAACCTTACCGCCACATGAGAAGAACAAATGCAAGGTCAACTAAAAACAACCAAAGATGGCCCTGGCAGCACAAAGTCACAAGCTAGAGATGGACCCCTGGTCAGCAAAGCAGCTCTGCAGCCTCCCGTGCCAGCATCCCCGGGGGTGGATGGCAGCAGCGTATCACCAGGGGGGACCGGGGGAGGCAAGGTGGCCGAGAGCCAGTAACAAGATCCCCACAGGGTGGGGATATGAGCATGGCCTGTACTGGGACTGAGCAAATGAGGCATCTTGATCTGTTCCCTCTCCACTTTTTCCCAGTGGAGAATCAAACCCACAAATGCTGGCACTATACCAACTGGGAGTATTTCTCCAGAGATCCCATAATTTTACAGGTGAGCTGATTCAGTGGTTCTGCCGTGGGAAGAGATTCCTGCCAGCACATTGAAGGGAGTGGTGTGAATTATCCCTGCCACAGCTGAGCATAGGGGCATATGATTAATAGAAACCAATGGCTCTGCTGAGCTGACCAAAAAGATGTTCCTCATTAAAAGTTCATTCCCCATTTTAGCAGAATAACAACCAGTTCCCTGTATTGTCCTATAAATATTGTGCACCCCTGTAAAATACCACTTAATTCCCAGATAACTCAATCCACATCACAGGCAGTGGAAGGAGGTGATGGATGCAGAGGGAGCAGCTATGGGGTATTCTGCAGAGAGTTAGAAGAGAGAGCAGTAGAGCAATTGCCCCTACACACACAACCTCCATGCGAACGGCAGATTATCACTTGGTTTTGCTGTGAGTTGTTTGTCTCCTTCCCCTCACTGGTTACCCACAGGTTCTGTGCTTGGCACAGAAAGACAATGTCCATGTACCCAACACTGCAACGGCGTAATAGATCTGCATGATCTGGGCAACGATGTGGACAAGATGACCTCCCAAGATCTCTTCTAGGACTATATTCACTGATTTTGTCACGGCAAAACATTGCATGTCACCAGCACCATACCACAACAACTGATCTAAAATATTTCAGAAAATATATTACATATTTCAGAAAATATATTACTTCAGAATTTACCTTCCTCATACATACAGTTTGAGATCTCTATTTACCTCATTCTCAGGAGGTTTGGTTTCCTTCACGTCACTGCCTTCAGCAGCAGCATCTTCCTCTTGGTCTTTTTCAGCTTTCTTCACCTTATTCTTATCACTTTGTTTTTGCCTGGAGCCCTCAGATGCTTTGCTGTGCTTCTGTTCAGCTGCCTCCTCCCTGCCAGCGTCCTCGCTGTAAGAATGCCTGCGTTCCCTTAACTTTGACTCTTCCTTTCTCTTAGATCTCCCAGGTAAATCCTGCAGCTGCCTCTGAAACTTGTCAGATTTTGACTTAGAGGTTTTTCGGTAATAGTCATCTTCCCTGCTCTTGTAGCCAGATAAAGGGTGAAGGGAGCCAGGGGAACCACTCCTTAAGTATTTTTCTCTGTGCCCTCTGCCTCCTTCAATCCGTTCATCCAAATCAAACTTGTCCAGCTGTCGGGAATAATGTTTCCTCTCATGTACCCATGTGTCAGTCCTGTCCCTCTTCTCGTCCCCATTCTCTCGCCATTCTCTGCTGTCTCTTTCCTCTTCCCGTCGAGAATACGGGGACTGATCCCACGACTCTCTCCCATTTCCCCAGTCAGTCCTGCCAGTCCCCATTGGGCTGTGGGGTGAACTGCAGGAAGTAAAGCTGGGAGTGTGGGATCGGGGCGACAGGGAGCGGCTTATGGGGCTGCGAGAGCGGGGCCTCTCCGTGCCATACCTGCTGCAGAGGGAAAAGGCAGCTGTAACTGGCTGACCCACTGTGGTCTACCAAGTTCTTGTACACTGGAAACACGTGGGGACTGCCTCAGTGCCTGCGAACCTGAGACCCCAAGCCTTTCACAGACATGCACTGCACAGCTGCAAACACAGTGAACGTAAGAAAAGGCAGTGTCATATCCACAGAGCTTAACTAAATCCCCACAGCTCTGTCAAGAATATATTCATTCATTCTTAAAAGCGTCTCATAGGGGTTTAGCATTAAAAGCTTATAATATGTTAATACCTTTACAATGACCATAATGTCTGTATCCTTAATGCTCACTCATCTAGGGCATCTCTGAGACAAAAGTGACAAAGGTCACCTGTTTAAAAGAGATGTTTTAGGACTACAATTCCTCTCCATTTTTGCTGGAAGGTCCAGAAGTCAGGCAGATCAGAAATAAACCCAAATACATTTTAATCTGAACCAGCTCCTTCCCACTAGGTCTCGCAACACCCCCAGCCTTTACGCTTTTCACTCAAGGGGGAGGAGAGGGGAACAGCTTCATTTATGTGTTCTTCACATGCCAGGCATATTTTCTGAGCCATCATCATCAGTAGGAAAGAGTTCATTTATTTTCATAACATGCACAGTTTCAGTCTGATCTCCCTGTACCTACTATTGTACCCACTTATATTTTTACAGTGATTTGAAGTGAAATCCAAGTTAAGAAAGCAAATGAGATAAGAGAGGGAAGCACACAGATAATGCTTTTTCTACCTGCAGGTTTACAGACTTATCCAGGTCCCAATTCTGAACTATGGAGAAACTTTACCTGTCCACCTCACGCAGCAGGTCCCTCTCTCTCTGCGAGTGGATGTCTTGGATGATAGCAGCCACATTCTTACCTGGTTTCTAAATAAGACAAAGACACTGTTTAGCATGCTGCACTGCTCTCCAAGCTAATACAGGCGATTTGTCCTTCAAGAAACAGCATCCATGCATCATTCAATTATACTACTACTGAGAAATATTTGGTTTCAGTGTTGTGGTTACAGTCTTTTCTGCAGCTGGTATCTCAATAGCACGATCAAAGCAGTAAAATGATACAAATGGAAAATTTGCTCCATTACGTTGCAGCACTGTCTCCTCATACTTGGCTGCTCTAACAGGCTTTGAAAACTAGCTTGTCCTTCCCTGTTACACACTACAGAGTATTTTCCAGGAATTGGATGTAAGAGGAAACAAACCAGACAATTTTACTAATACCTGAACTAAATATGTATAGCAGCCTACCTCTGACCCTCTAGGAATGAACTACCTTCTCTTCATCTCAGAGTTTAGCTCACTCTGGAGTATAGCTCTAAAAGACTATGTTTAGACACAAGACCTTCAGAAAAGCTAAGTGCAAGATAGATGCATACAGGAAGTGTTGATTACTTGAGATTCAAGATCATTTACAAAAGATGCACTACTCCAGGCTGGAGTGCATGCAATTCGTCAAACACTTGGAGCATGCACAGCTGAGCAACATAATCATGAAGGAACTCACAGCAGTTTGTAGTGGTAAATAGTTCATGCATATTCCCCCTTCCATGTTGCACTTTTGTTTGTTTGTTTTGAACAAAGAGAAAGGGCTTTTGCTCGTGCAGAGAAAAATAATTCCATGACCTAAAAAACTACCATTGGAAAAGCTGAAAATCTTCCTGAAATCTAGGCAAACTCCCACACTCTTCTGAGTAATTCCTGTTCTGCCTCTATGGTAAGATGCACAGGCTCCACCACCTTGCATCTGAATCCCTCACCATACCATGCTACGAAAGACTGCCCTGGTTTACGGACTTTTGGCAACTCCTTTAAGTCTCCTTAAACTATTATACATATACAGGAGAGAAAGAGACTTTTCCAAAGGTCAAACCAAACCATCTGAGTTAATTGTTTTTCCTCAAGGCTTGCAAACCTCTTAAAAAAAAAAAAAAAAAACCCTCATAAAAGGCCCCTTAACCTCTTAACTTGGAACATTACAGAGTTATTTTATAAAATAACTTTGTGCTGTGTTAGATAATAGAATATGAAGCTTTTCAGCTCTGCATTGCCAGTTCCAGTCCAAGTCTCCCTGAAAAAAAATACTCTCTTAGCATTACACATAGCAGTACATAAGCTTCCATAAATATGCTCACAAGAGCACTGATTTTTGGACATCACTCAGGTGTCCACATCAGAAGTGTCACACACTCTACAGAAAGTCCAAAGGCTATTGCTCTGTTCTGACTCTATGTAAAAAATAAAAAAAAAAAAATCTTGCTTTTTAAATTAGGTCATTCACAAGAAAGAAAGAAAAAGAAATCGGTGTGATGTTTAGCCCTGCCTTCACTGCTTGGTACAGAGACTGTATTATGGCTCAAGCATGCAAGGTTTGAAAAGCACTGCTTCAGGCTTCATGTCTGACTAAAAGGATAGGACCATCTTATTTTTTGCTGACATGTTGTCTCTTACACATGGCTGTCTTTTAGAACTTTGTTAGACCAAGCAATGTGGGGAGCCCACTCAGAAGAAAGCTCAGAAGGGATTTTTGAAATAATGCTATGAGAGGACCAGAGAAAATGGGATCTCTTCCAAGAGTTAAAATTTAGAACAAGAGCAAGCAGCTAAGTATAAAAGACCATTAACATACATTAATTAATTTATCTTCCTTAATTTCTTTTTCCATAATATTAAAACATTAATTAGAAATCAGTAATCAGCAAAGATTTTTAGATGTATTCTCCAGGACGTGCCATGGAAACTCAGGAAATCTGATCAGGAATGACTATCTTACCTTCAGCTGCAATTCCTTGTATCTTTTAGACATCCTAATAAGTAACTTGTCATCGTTTATCATAGCAGGTTTTTCTTTGTAGTACTGCACCATGGCTTGTGCTGCTTCACTGTAAGCCATTTCCAGAAAGGCCTAGCACAAATGGGGAGAGCTTTAAAATCTACTACATAATTAAAAATACAAAGTATAAGAGAGAAAAGGCAGCACAATAATTTTCATTTGGATTCTTCTCATGCAAAATGTCTTGATAGTACAGAACTGGGTAGCTTTCCAGCCCTGGAGCTGAAATAGTAACACTCAGTCCATTGCTCAGCTTCCTTTTAACTGCAAATAATGGTTTCAACCCAGCTATTGAAGCTGATATGCAACTTTAGAAGCCAGTTTAGTTAAAAACTAAATGACTGGAATCTAATCTTTCTGGATATATGAAAACATCACCTTTCCCTTGCTTCCTCACTGGTGCTTCTACACCATGATCAGCTGCTGACAGGATGCAGAACCACAATGTTGCATCATGCGCTGCTCCTGAGATTGTCAGCTGTGTCTTGCAGAATCGCAAAGGATCCAGATAAAAGCAGAACATCAGAGCATGAGCAGCCAGAACAAAGCCAAAAAAGAGTTTAAAAAACCTGAATGATGTTAACTAGCACTTCTATTTACATGGAAACTGCATTTGATGTGACTGCAGTTTAACTGGTCAAGGAATATACTCACAGCTGTGTAATGACTGCATTTTGAAACATTACAATCTCAAACACTGCCCACTGGCGTGGATTCTACATCCACCTGTATTGTCTGCTGCAGGTATGTGAGAGAAGATTTTCTAGTCTTCCCAGCCTACCACCACTGGTAGACTTATGCTACTTAAACTAGACTTAAGCTACCTTGAAGAAAGAGCTCTACTACAATGCGGCGCAGATTAAAAGGGAGTGAGGTGTCAGTGCCCCCGGTAAGGGCACAGCCTTCCTTTAGCATGGGTGTACCAGACCACCCAGCGCAGCCATGGACTGGGGGCTCTGCCACCAGCCTGTACCTGGAATTACACCGCTGTGGGATCGCCTCTGCTGTAACAACAGCTCGGCAAACAGCGTAGGACAGACGAACCAGACTAGAGTGCAAGTCATTCTTCAATGCCCACTTTGGCTCTACAAATATGGGTAAGAAAGCAATAAAAACCTCCCAAACAGCACAAGACAAGTCTGAAAGTAACCCTAACAAATGGCTGAGAGAAGGCAGCCAAGTTATTAACTTATTTTTATTTTTAAAAGTACAGTTTTAAAACACTTCTTCATTGAGATTTCTGGGTTTTTTTAACAAGAACTATGAGGCAGTGGTCATGATTATGCCATCATCTCATTCTGCAAGCACCACTTTTTTTTTTACTTCAAGAGCAGGCTTCATATATTTAAGTTTCTATTACAAAAAAAGATATTTTCCCCAAATACTCTGTCTTCATGTCAGTATGTCTTTAAACCAATAGACCTCAATACCGGTGACCCCAAATGCACGGTACCTGATTAGTGGATTTCATGAGGATATAGTTGGTGACCTTCCCAAACGGGAGGCCCAGGTTAATGACATCATTCTCTGTGCAGCTTCCCTCCGGGAGGTTGCAGATGTGAACAACTCGACCCAGTGTAGATTTCCTCTGGGGAAACTGAGGAAAAAACAACTCAAAACAATGTTTTTATCTTAGATATTCCATCCACTAGATAAGACCTTACATTTCTGCAAAAAATGAAATGTATTGTTCTGCATACCTGTTATTAAGGACAAATATCCTTCTTTAAAACCCTGTACTTTAACATCCTGGTTTAGACATACAAGGGAAGGGAAATGTTTAACTGCAGTGCACCTTGCAATGGAGTCTCTATTCCTGGACATTACAAAGTCCAGAGATGATTTCTAGAAGAGATGCTCTTCTTCAAACAGGATTAACGATACTGCTGCAAAAGGTAACTTGCCACCTCAAACCTTATGGACACCAGGGCTTCAGCTCCCTGGCATGTCACAGCAGAGGGCTGGGCTGCCACAGGCACAGGCCACTGCACCATACTCAGCACCAGCGGGAGTTTGGAGGCCCCTCGGTGTTTGGAGACGAGGGTGCCCCTGGCATGGGGAGGTCTCAGCCCCTCCTGATGAGCTCCCTGCAGGGTCAGTACCCATCCGCTATGGCAGCACAACCCTTATGGCTCCTCTGCCAAGTTGGACAGCCTTCCTCACCCTGTCTGCATCTGTCTGCCCCACTGGGAGCTCTGTGCCTTCCCTGCACATGGAGGTACCACGCACTATTGCTGAGTAAAAGGCCCTTAGCAGATCATCTGCAAGCAACGCACAAAAAAAATTAGTATTTTCAAGTATTCCATAAAACCCCATTTATGTGGTGCTGGTGGTGCCTGGAAATTGAAACATGCTCACTGCAGTCCCTGCTGAATTTATGGACGTTAGAAATCAGTTTAGGTGACTACAGAGGTGTTCAGGATAGCAGGGGCTGAATTTAAATCCTCCTTCTGCCCTGGTGGAACAGAGTGGGCCAGGGGTAAAAATGGCCCCATTTAACTTGTGAGAGGACACACAGCTATACCCCAGGTTGGAAAACCTACTGCTTTCCCCTCTCATTGCAACAACACACAGTAGGAGGGACTTTTCCCCTGGGGGCATAGTGACCACTGGACATGCAGAGAGGCAGAGCTCCCAAATTGGCCTGGCGCAGGCATCTGGCCGCCAGTGCAGTAACCATTTCACAAGGGTGGAAGTCTATTTTGGAGTGCTGGGGCAGTTCCCAAAGAGCTGCCTGTCTCCCTGACATGGAAAGCAGGCTCTACACTCCTTGTGCAAAGAGGCATCAGGGTATACTCAGAGAGGAACATAATTTACCTCAGCTAATGACATGCAAAACATAGCTCACACAGGATTAAGTCTTCCCAGACTACTTCCCTGTTTATGACCTCTGCTGTTAGGATTTTACTGAAGAAGTAACTCTACCATCAGTTAAAATTGTGCCATTCAAAGGAAGATGCAAATCACGTAATCTTGTGGGATCAAGTTCACCAGAGCCACCACAAATGTTTGGCTTGTCAGCAAGTTCACAAGTTACAGAACTAATGTTATCTTATTTACACCTTCATCCCATTACCCTCCCTCCAGGCTTCACCACTTAACCATTTGTCTATTTTTGCTGCAACAAGACCCTGTATTATACAGTTGTCTGCTATTTATCTTGCATCTCACAGAGAATGCCCAGGTACATAAAATAAGCCAAAGAAGCGCCAAAGTCCAGAAGTAAGATATTTTCTCTAGCAGAAAAATAACCAAGACCTGATCCTGAAAAAGATGAAGCAACTCAACTCTACTTGAATAGAAAAGGAAGTGACGGCTGCATGCATCCAGCAAGGCAGCATGTAGCACACAACAGAAGAATACAAGTACAGCCAGCGGAGGGAAAGGAAACTTTCCTGACAGCAAATGCAGCCCCAGTGTAGGAACACCCCAGGTCACCTGGCACCTTCTGTTTATTTTGTTAGCTCCATTAAGAGATGGTATGTTAAGAGTCTATGGGACTAGAAAGACTTAGCTGTTCCCTACGTAGGCTCCAGAGCCTGTGTTCGGACGCGCGCTCAGCAGTACATTAAATCAAATGACTGTAAGATGTTACCACCTCCCCACAATTGGCAATGGCTTAAATTAAAATGCCACGCCATAAATCTGCTGTAATTTGTGATTAAGAAGTGGTCACATACTCATACCAGAAGTCGATGGCCTGTACCAAGCAATAATCTTGTCAGCTGATTGAAGTTAAATTGGATCCATTAATTAAATAGAACTGTAAATCACAGCCAGAAAAGGAACATACACCTTCCATATCCACAGTCAGGCAGTTAGAGGGGCTGTTGTGCTTCAAGTGTTGAGTGTAATTTTCAGTAAGACTCTTAAGTTAACTTCCTTTGCAACCGATGCATACAGGGTTTACGAATGCAGCTGGACAACTACTACAAAAATAATTTGAGGCACAGCAGTGAAATGCACCTCATACCATTTGCCATATTATTTCATTAATCCAATTGGTTATTTTTTACTACAGTGGGTTTTTTTCAATTTTTTTGTTTCTTGCTTTTCAAATTCTTTATCCCTTCCTTGAGCTTCGCATGAATCTTTTCTAAAGATAATAAGAAACTGCCAGTCCCATCCCTCCAGTGCTAATGGCTCTCCATGCCCAAGTGAAGACTTGTAGCACTGCATTTGCCTCTTGAAGAGGGACAGAGTTATTTGCAGATGGATAGCACAGAGCAAGCTCTTCCAGAAATCCGAACACTTTGTTTACGATTACATGCAGGGTCAAGTATAATCTCCCGCTGCTCAGTTAAATGGCAGCAGCTTAGCTGAAAGTGAATACTACTGTGCAAAGGTGTAATAAATTATAAGCCATCTGGGTTGCAGGGTGAATGACAGCTGGCAAACTCAGTCTTAACACCTCTAATATAGCTCCCTGTCCACCCTATGAGCTTCTGAAGAGAAAGAGGATTTACAGTGTCCAGGAAAATCGAAGTTATTGTTTCTTTTATCTCTGATAGTACTGCAGGTCATTCAGAAGGAGGACTTCTGCAGGCAGCTTAAATGATAAATAGTGACAGATTCTAAGGAGAAATGATACTGGCATTAGCAGTAATTTCATTTGTTGCGAGGTTGACAGACATGATGAAAAGGAACATTCCTCCGCACCCGCTGCTACTCCACCTCTGACCTTGGAGGCAGCCATCATGAGCAGCTCTGCTCTTTGCTCCCATGCACACACAGCATCTGTGACAGGCAGAAGCTAAAACCCCTTCAAATAACCTCTGTCACAGCAAAACCACACAGTAGAAAATTGGTTGGATTAAACAAATACGGGTGATGTTTCTGTAAGTAATGCCTGATGCGAACTGGAGTGGCACAGGGACACAACTCAGCCTGGCTTTCCAGAGTGTCTGAGACCACATCAGGATATATACACAAAAGCTAACAAGGTGAAAACTTGAACCCAGGGATTACTGCTGCTATTCCATGAATGCCCTAACATGAGTCCTTGATGCCTCCAGCTTTAATCATAGCTTTCCAATATATGTTGGTCTTCATTTTAACCCTAGCAACTTTGTACTTCCATTATGTATATGATTTGCTTTTATTTGCCTTTTTTTCCCTTGTTTTTCTCCTTTTTTCTTTTTAAAATCTTTCTGCTTTGTCAGTATAAGAACCACTTTTAATGTTTTCTTTTTTTTTCTGGCTTTTTTTGATTATTGGGCTAGGAATTCAAGTGTGCAATATAACTGGGGACCTGTGTTGAATGCTGGGGGTCTAATAAACCTAAACCATGGAAGGCTGTACACCAAAGGACACTTGCTGAAAGGTTACCAGTGGCAGAAGATGATGTAAATAGTACACTTAAATAAACTAAGAAAAAGCTAGTCCAGTATAATGAATTGGTCTGGGACCCCCAGGTGAGTATGGCTAGCGAAGCTGCAGCCACTATTGTTGCCACTATTGCTACCTGGGAGAAGGACCCCAGCATGGGAGAGGCAGAAAGCAATTGCTACAAATAAATAACTGGAGAAACAGCAGGCTGCTTGCTGTGATCGATACTCAGAGTAAGTAAAAACTAATGCAAATATTCATTCCAAGCTGAAGCTGACCTTCCCGGGTCAAAAAAACTTGGAAAATGGGGGAAAAAAAGTCAATGGGATACACACAAAACCATTTACCCCCCTCCCCAAATCTCTCTAACAAGCAAACAACTTTTAGCCCTGAAAGAAAAAACTACAATCAAGTTCTGTTTTGGCCAAAATCAAAAGCATAAAAGAGCCACAGGGAAGTTGAAATAGCAGAATGAATATTCAGATCATTGTCTAAAAGGAAGCCTTCAGGTTTTAATTTAATTAAGGTTTTAATTCTAGTTAGCAGAAGTGGCTTCTACAAGAATCTTGACACAGAGATCAATTTGCTTAGGTACTCACTCTTACCCCTGATGGAGGAGAAGAAAATGTAGGACCTGGCTGGCCAAAGGATCTTGCTGACGTAGTGATAAAAGGTGAGCCGACATTTGGTGGGTAATCTAAATAATGGATCACACACATTTCATGAAAATCTTGACTCATATTAATTAATTATTAATTAGTGTGCTCAGTAAGCAATGCCTCATTTACATAATAATTAATTTCATAGTCTCTACACCAAATTATACACTGTTTCGTTGTACTGTGAAAACAAGGCATTGTCTAAAAGAAAAATAAATTCATACTTTGAAAGGCACAGTATTGGCTTTTAGCTTTTCTGTGCACAACCTCTAAAAAGTTTTCCTTGGAAACTTGTATCACATTTCATTTAAAATGTCCACTCTTCCCCAGAGACTGACTTCCCTTTCAATTAAAAGAAGTGTTTTTAACTATTACACATACAACCATTCACCTTCGATACTAGATGGATTGAAAACTGCTGCACTATTTGGTGATAAATGCAATGTTCCATCTGCTGAGCTTAACACACACCGGATACCAGTGCTGGAAAAGAAAGAAAAGAACTTTAGGAGCATGCATAATGTGCCTTAAATATTAAAACATAATTATTAGACAGTAAATTCCCGGTGTAAAGCCACTGAAGTAAGGGATGCTCTGTTAGAAATTCAGTTGGAAGCATGTCTCTAAAATAATACTTACTTATCTGAAAAAGCCATACATTTTTGGATGTGAAGACTTCCCTTAATGTGCTGATCCCAGTCCTACGTTGAAACAAAGACATGATGAGCATAGGAAAAATCCTGAAACAAATTTACAAGAGACTGCTTCTCCATTCAGTTTATTCTAAAAACAATACTGAGATGCTGAAGGTCAAACTGTGTGATGCTGGAGCCAAGCGCACCTTCATCCAATGCACTTACTGATTTGTTATTTGTAGGTTAAATTATCAGTTACTTCACAAAAAGAGAGATTAAATCCAGTATATTTCTATTCATTCAGTTACTTCACTCTAGCTGAAGAGCTCATCCTGTAAGGCGCTGAGCACCCTCAGCTCCTGCAATGTCCATAATGAAGGTGCTCAGCACACAGGGCAGCCAGGACAGTGCTTATTCATTTCAATAGATTTGCAAAATTTGTCAAAGTATGTTTAGCTATTTACACTTCTATAATCCAACTGAGGCAGTGTATTAAACACCAACAAAGAGATCAACCGAAACTCACCGTAATGATATTTTCCCTGTCCTTTCAAAAAATTTAAAAAAATGTTGAATGAAAAAAAGAAATGCTCAGCATGCCCTAGATGGGGGCTACTTCAGACCAGTCCTGTAGCTGCGGTAACCACAGCAAACCCTTTTGCAAGCAGCTGCTCAAAGAGTAAAAGGGAACATGAAAGAGTAAATATATTCAAATATCTCAAAACCCCAGGGTGTGTAAGTATCAGGTACTGTTTAATTTGCTGGCCATCTTTCTTCCTATACACATGCTGTTGTAATGTTTTTCTCAGACAACCATCAGTGTGAAAACAGATGCCTTTGCAGTTAGGTGCCGATCCTACAATGCAGTGGAAAAGGCCGTGAGGACTTGTTGAGCAGGGCTCGCCAGGAGGCCAGAACAACGCCATCCAGCCAGCACCCACGTATGGCTGTGGGGCTCAGAGGCTTCTCCAGACCTGACCTATATAATGTGACCTAGCACACGGGCTCTCTGGGCAACCAGGGAGCTGCTTGTCAAGGGTGAGGCTGAATTTGGATCTCCCTTGGCAGTATGAACAGAGGAGTGGGAGCACGGTCTGCGCCACACGTGCTGAGCAGCTTCTTGCTTCCAGGCCAAAGTTGCTGGGGACCCCCGAGTCACAAATTTTCCTTAGAGCTACTAGAAGGAGGAAGAGATCCCAACAGAAGAATTATTAAAATCATTTTATCACAATGCACTGTTCTGTTTAAGCAAGCTGCTTCCACAAGGCTGTTAGGTGGAAGCCTTTGGGACCAGAAATGCAAAGAGAAAGGGAGAGGCAGATGAAACCGCAGACGTGCGGTTACACCACCAGCTTGAGAAGCAGGGGATCGGCTTCAAGCTCCTCCTCCCTCGCTTTGGGCCCATGAGATGAGCTGCGACCCCAGCCCGGAGCTCATGTTTCTCACGCCAGCGCTGTAATCTCACCGCCTTTCACAGCGAGATGCGAAACAAAACCAGATCTTGAAACCCCAGTAATTGCCAGGAAGCAGATGTACGACACCCTAAGCGAAACTATGGCTCTTTGTTTCCGCTTCTCTCGGGGCACCTCCGTGGCGATGGACGCCGGCGGCAAGGGGTGGCAGGAGCCGGCGGCCAGAACAATCACCAGGCGGCCCGCTCGAGGGTCCGAACCGTGCCCCGGGGGCACCTTAAAACCACTCACCTTCAGATCAAAGATC